TGGGAAATATGTATAGATCCTAAAACACGAGGAAAAATATCACAATGTATAGAAAATTAAAAATAAGTCAATGATATATAAAATCCCAGAAAAACAGACTCACAGTTTGTAATTTGGTGTATCAGATCAGGTTGGGCTCACCAATGAAGATGCCACAAGTATTCACAGTTTGACAACGCTTTAACCAGTAACACCTTCTACTATGAATCGTGCCCACCAAGTGAAATCAAAAGACAGAAGCGAGGAGGTTGGAAGATATATTTGGTAAGCTATCAATATATCGAGGATCGTCTGAAAGAATCTGGCTAGGGATTGCAGTAGGCGTTGAGCACGGCGTTCCCACATGTGATCTGGTGCGGATGCATGACCGAGCACCTTCAGCTAGATGAGTGCATTAAAACTAATGTGATCAGCATCCAATGTCGAAAACTTACAGAGCTATTTATTTTGGGGATTTATTTACCGCTACAAACCAAATAATACCCCACAGACTTATGATGCAACTCCAAAGTCTGTGGTGATGATCAACATGTCAGTTGTTCGTACTTATATCAATGATATCTAGAATTCGAACCATAGATTTTCCCAAATTCTTTACCACGATCCCCCTGACTGGTCGAAGATTATTTTCACAATAATACATAATTTCTGCAGCCTCCAAACAACTCATATTCCAACGAAGAATTCTTCCATCTAATAGTTTTGGTAGAGTCTCTCGTCACAGAATGTTTAGCGCTTCTATATTGCAGTATAAATGTATCTACTTCCCTCTCCAGTTCAGTAAATGTTGAAGCAGCAATGGAATTGATAGCAGTTTTCAATGTCCTGACGAAATTTTATGCCTGATCATTGGAACAAGAGTGCCCATGAGCAGTGAACAAAGTTCTCACCCAATACCCTTCAACCAGGTAATGAGCGCGTCTATAGTGAAATGAGCGCGATTATCAGTAATTAACACCACGGGAACCACTTCTCAACTAAACACCTTTCTTAGTGCTTGGATTGTGAAGTCGGAATTCGACTAAATTGTGAAAAACTTCAGGCTATTTAGGAAGAAGATCAATGGCAACAAGTGCATAGTATTTGCCAAGAAACGAACCACAATAGTCAGCATGAATTGTCTGCCAGGCCTCAGGCAATACTGGTCATATAGTTCACTTAGACGGATTGTCTTTCAACTCGTGGCATCTTCCACAGTGATTTACTGTACGACATATATCTGCACTTATCTTTGGCCACCAACATGTGAGCTTTGCCAAGGACTTCATTTTATCGACACCGAAATGTCCACTATGAAGATCTTCAAGGACAGGCCTACGCAATGAATGAGGAATAACAACACGATTATTTAAGCACAAAATACCATCAGGAGTAGTGGATAACTCATCCGGCTTTGAAAAATAGACAAAAAATCTGTGTTTCAGATTAGCGTCTCAAACTTTCAGTACAACACTGAGAATATTTCGTGCCTGTAGGTAACCCTCGTGTTATTGATAGCAGAAACCAGACTAATAGTCACTAGGTCTTTATTTAGATCGTCGCGCAGTCACAGTGGAGCGTGGGATTACCTGTTTAGACAAACAAAGCTTTTCAACACTCAACATCAGGTAATAGGAAATATGATACAAATGTAATACAAAATAACGAAGTGATTGAATACTTCAACTCTATTGTTTTGACATATACGTAGTTGTTTGAGGACAACTCTTAACCAATCAACCTAAGCTGTCATAAATACATCCAAAGTATCGACGAGTTTCTGTGATGAGTTCTGGAGGTCTCACAGGTAAAAGTTGAACTAACAAACAATCTGAAGAATTAACGGGTCTATCTTGTAATAAATGTCGAGAAGTGTAGTCAATGTGTTGAATTTGTTTGGTACTCCTGTGCTAAACCGTACAGTAAAAGGCACTCCAAGCAATACTCCATCGTTGTACCATAGCAGCTGAGGAAAGCGCTAGGGATTTTTTGGGATGGTAAATTAACTTTAAAGCATCATAATCAGTAACAATAATGAATTTTTTCCGAACAAATATTTATAAAGTCTTTTAACAGCCCAAAATAAAGCTAATGCTTTGTGAATAATCCTGATCAGCAATAGTAAGTTTGAGTGAAACATATATTAATGTTCTACCTTTCTGCTCCAAAACTGCACCATTACCCACAGGTTATGTATCAGCAATAAGTACGGAACGTGCATTAGAGGAGTAAACTTGGAGAACAACACCATTTTGAAGAAACTTTAGTAGGCTTCGTAAGCATGAATCTTGTTCTTCACCACATTCGAAGGAATTAAATTTCAGTATATTAAATAGACAATCAGCATGATAAGAAAAATTGGAAATAAAACGGGAATAGTACTGAAGAGCACCCACTAGTGAACATAGTTCTGTAAGATTTTCCGGAGATAGCGCACTTGTCATTGGAGCTAGTCACTTCATATCTGGTTTAAAAATACTACCGTGAACTATGTGTAGATCACAAAGGTAATTGATCTGTGTTGAACTATTTGGGTAATGCTCGAGTTAGACGGGAATGGTTTGACGAACCAGCTAACTTCGAAGTCACACCTAGCGGTCAGCACCCAACATGGATTACCCTTTCGCCGTATTAAGGTGCAATAGTTGAATGAGCACCGTACAACACAAGGGACGTTATTACAGAAATGTAGTAGTAAAAGTAGGTACAAGAAAGACGTTGCAACTACCACAGCATGAGCCAATCCACGGTGTTTGAGTAATTGATGCGCGTTGGTTGCCCTTGAACCTAAAGAGGGTCGTGAACCGTTCGAAATTTAGTGACTCGATCGCCGGATGATTTGTTTAGGACCCAGCGTCATTTCACTAGCACTACATAGATATCCAAGACATTCAGAACTAGATACACAAAACGAACGCCTACTACGACTCACTTTAATATTCTTCTTAATTAAACGACCCAACAATGCAAAAAGTCTCCTATCATGATCATGCCTTATCAAATCTGTAACGACCGAAATGCCAATATTCGGTTAGGACATAGAACTAACAAACCAACATTCATTACATTAGGTCAGACTACGTTCTTCTGTATAGCGTAAAAAGCGTTTTTGAGTTGCTCGTATCAAATGATATCAAAACACAGACTCTGTTTTCAATTTGAACGGTTCTAATTTAAGAAAGAGGACAAATCATATCAAAAACAAACAATACATCAAACGGTACAGCTTGTATTTTACAGTCAAAGATTTCGTCAACAAAGTAGCATGCTAAACAACAAAAAGAATAGTTGACAAACAAGAGTTTACTACCTGGGAATCGACAAAAATATCCCCAACAAGATGGGGTCGGTCGTCTATCTGCAAAAATTTCGGCGACCTTTCCAAGCAGAAAAATGTTGGAAGTCATCCACTGAATCGCCCTGTGACCTTAAATAGAGTCAATGGTCCGGCAACATGCAACGGTAAATTACGTAATAAAAGATATGTTTTCAGCCAGGGTCACATGACAGAAGCCCCGAAAAGAAAGACTGAAGAACATAAAGTGTGGATAAAAGACCTGAATAAAGGTTGAACTATAAGACAAAGGAAAGGAACAAACAAACTACCATACTGTCTAATCAAATGCTGTGAAGGGATTTTCAGCGTTTTCTTTCCGTTACACACATGCTAACAATGTTCTCACTAGATTTTTCTGAAGCTCAGTTTGACTTAAAGACTCCTAACATTAAACATCTGACATTAGGAGACCAGGCAATAAATCAGTCCAAATATACTTTAGTCATCTCAAGATTTGGGTTGTCATGAGACAAAGTGATCAACAGCTCTTCGCCCTATTGATTTCTAACAGCAAGTGTTTACAGTATGAAATGGTCCAACACAGTACTCTTGAAATCCTTCGAGAGAACTCGTCTTTTTTGCAAAGAACTCGAATTACCATCTTAGTATCCAATAGTAGATGGTAATGGTAGGAGGCTAAATATTGTATTTCCGTCTTCACGTTTTGCATTACTATGAAAACCAAATTGAGCCTTCAGCGAACCAAAAAGCGTTGATATATGTTCTTGTGAAGGAGCGAAGTAATTTGCTACTCGAAGCTAAAAGCAAAGTTTCATATATATAGAAGAATTTGTTCTGGATTTTTGGGCTTTCTGTGAATCCCATCTCAAAATGTATTGGTTCGTTAGACTTCATTTAGGTATTTTTAGCTCAAAGTCCGATTCCGCTTTGATAATACAAATATGCTATGGAAATAAATCTTCCATTTAACCCCGTATATTACTTAGGTTAACCCCGTTATGTGTGGTGACACCAATAAGAAACCAAATAAGGTTTACGTTGCTCGAATTTACTCCAGGCCTCCGCTTATTCAGACAGACATTTGGAACAAGAAGTGGGAAGGTGAAGTGTGCGGAGATGGCGAAATAGCTAACTTGATTTGATCACGAGTGACTCGATATTTTTAGTCAGATAAAATTAAGTCACAAATACTTAATAAGTGGGGTGAGCAATTAACACACATGCTCATGTAAAAGCAGTGAGGGTTAATAAGCGAATAATTAACAAGGTCAAAACGCGACACTAAAGGAATGAATAAATCGGACAGTCCGGAAGCTAGGACAACCAATGTGGGCTTGACATGGTACTGGACACACTTTCCTTCTCGTCTTTATACAACTAAATCCCTATCTAAATGCGTTAACGATCCGTTCATTAAGTGGATACTTCCTATATCCAGTATAAGAACATTTTAAATACATCTTGCTAAAAGCGACTTTCGGGCTCTAGATCTCTCCCGCTGTTTCATTTTCAGGTTTTTTGAGCAATCATTGCAAGAACTATGCCTTCCAACGCCAAGTAGCCATTTATTACAGTTTGGATACAGATTGAAAAGAAAAATCAGTCAAATACTTCTGCCGACTAAATATTGAGAATTGAAAGTATTTATTATTTATGGTATTTAGTTCGTTACTAGCATTTTCGGCGCCCTTGAATTCGTCGAGGTTATCACGCGTTTGTAACCATGACCCAGGGTTTTGTTAGTAATGTTCCTAGTGGATCTAACGCTAAAGCTAAGGAAGGTCAGTATGAAGATAAAGGGAAACCTGCTGCCATCAGGTCAAGCAACATAGTTGCCGCAAAAGGTATATCTTAATTACGTGTTAAGTATTTTCAGCTGTCGCCGATGCAATTCGTACTAGCCTAGGACCCAAAGGAATGGATAAAATGGTAAGAAATCTTAATATTTTGATTTTTGTGAAGATACAAGAGGCAAAAGGTGATGTCACGATCACCAATGATGGAGCCACGATATTGAAACAAATGAAGCTTCTACACCCTGCAGCCAAAATGGTAATTAATGGTCAGAAATATGATTTGTTAGTTGGTAGAATTATCCAAAGCTCAAGACATCGAGGCAGGTGATGGTACCACTTCCGTAGTTGTTCTAGCAGGAAGTCTTCTTGATGCTTGCTCAAAACTGCTAGATAAAGGTATCCACCCAACCTCCATCTCAGATGCTTTCCAAAAAGCTGCATTAAAGGCTTGTGATATTCTGGAGGGTATGTCCATCCCTGTAGATCTGGGAAACCACGAAGAACTTATCAAAGTGGCTACAACCTCACTTAATTCCAAAATCGTCTCACAACACTCGGATTGCTTGGCACCTATAGCCGTAAAATCTGTCTTGGATGTTATAGACCCAGCCTATCCTAATTCCGTCTCTCTAGATGATATTCGTGTCGTGAAAAAACTTGGGTAAGCTGTATTTTTAAAGACGTAGAGGTGTATCTGACTTAGGTGGAAACATATATACAGCCACAAGAATAGATTTGTAGTACATGAGCTTAATATATTGTACTATTTAACTGAGAATCCTGTCCTGCTAAACAGTTGCACTTTTGTTTCTTGCGTATTCTATAATAAACAGCTGCCGATCATCGCGTTCATTAATTTTTAGTGTTGCTTACACTAAAATAATGAATTTGTAGTACAACTGGTAATTGTCTCAACATTCTTGATGGATCAAAGTTCGGCATATGCTTAAACTCATACTTAACATCTCTTTGAAACGGCAAGATAAACGGCTGTACTGTAGGGTTTACTTCAGATGCTTTATGGTTTTGGTGTTTACATCTATAGAAGTTAAACGTTGGCCTAACAAACCGATTAAGTCTGTGCTCTTATATTTTGCCTAGTGCTGTACTATGTGGAATGTCGTTCTGACCAATAAGACTTCGTTATCGCTCATTGTAACAAATCTATGGTTCCTACTGTTTGGTCACAGATTCCACCTACTTCGATCTTGGTACGTGATTGCACTGAAATCCACATATATTAATATCACCCGATGGTTCCGTTACGTTATCTTAAAACTATCCCTGTGACTTCTCTACTAAGATTTTGCTATCTGAAGGGTTATAATATAATAGCGTTTATGTTCAGTTATATTGACTTGTATTTTCTTGTTGGCTACAAGAGTATTGATCAATCTCATCACAAATTTCGTTTTTAACATTTTACTCTAAATAATAGAGGCACAGTCGAAGATACCAAGTTAGTGGACGGTCTTATACTCACTCAACGTGCTGAGTCTGCTTGTGGCGTTAAAAGAGTAGAGAAAGCGAAAATAGCTCTTATTCAGTTTTGTATCTCTCCTCCAAAAACAGATGTAAGTTGTCCTAATATGCAAAACATCTCTGGTCTCAGATGGAAAATAATGTCGTCATTACAGATTATACTCAGATGGATAGAATCATGAAGGAAGAAAGACAGTACATTCTCAACATCATCAAAGCCGTTAAAAAGGCTGGGTGTAATGTCTTGTTGATTCAGAAAAGCATTTTGCGGGATGCTGTAAATGAATTGGCTCTACATTACTTTAATAAAATGAAGATTATGGTCGTCAAGGATATCGAGCGAACAGAAGTAGAATTTATATGCAAGGTGAGCTGGTTCTGTTTCAAATTTTAAAAAATATGGTTCATTAGTTCTTTATTGCTTCTTTAGGTTAGGTGCAAAGAGACTGGTCAGTTTACTCGTGTTCAGGATCCAGATGATTCCCTTTAACCTGTTTTCCTTACTAATCATTCTATTTATAACCAAGTTAACTAACAATCTAAGGTTTTAAAATCGAAAATTATCGTAAGATGTGTTTGTCTAAGCTGTATTTAGACCAATAAAATTATTTAAGTTCACAAAAGTCATTAAGATTTATAAAAGTATCTCAAGGAAAATTATTATGCAACATTTTTTCATGCCTTTCTGATAGACACTGCATTGCATACCAATAGCAAGTCTAGACCATTTCAACCCAGAATATATGGGATCTGCAAGTTTGGTTGAAGAATCAGAGGCAACCGCTCATTGCGTTCACATCACAGGTATTGAGAATAAGGGAAGGACAATATCAATCTTGGTCCGGGGTTCCAATAAACTTATGTTGGACGAAGCTGAACGTTCATTACATGATGCACTTTGTGTTATTCGATGTTTAGTAAAAAAGAGGTACGTTAATAACTGGTTTTTGTTTTGTAAAAGTCACTTCTATGAGATCAAATTGTATATCATAAAATCCACAATTTAGGCTCTGTATAATAGTCTAAGTTAATCTTGAATCCGTAGTTCCTTGATATAATTCTTAGTGTTTTAAGATTCATGTTAAAGGTACTCGTAGAAATAATTATTTATTTCTCTCGTAACAGAAAATCTATTCTAAATTTGAAACCTTATGATCGCAACTGTTTGAAATTTTAACATTTCCATCCATATTTCTAGAGCTATGATCTCAGGTGGTGGTGCACCAGAAATCGAAATTGCCCAGAAGTTAGCTGCATTCGCTAACACTACACCTGGTCTTGATCAGTATTGTTTCCGTGCCTTCGCTGATGCATTCGAAGTTATTCCGTACACATTAGCAGAAAATGCTGGTTTGAGTCCTGTACAAACTGTCACTGAACTACGAGCTTTACATGCTAAAGGGGAGAAAAATGCTGGAATCAATGTTCGAACGGTAATTGACTTTGTTTTTACTTTAGTTGAAATTCTTTCGGTCGTATAAATTACTGGAATGAAATCCCGTTAAAATTTAAAATTATCTAGATGTTGTAAACATCGAATTCTTCCAGCCTGCGAATGTTAATTTAATAAATTTAATACAACTTGGTAACCAAGTGCAAATTCATGTACTCAAGGTTGAGTCGTTTTTAATTAATACTAATGTAGTGTTCCTAACTGAAGTAGACGAAATATGGTTTAAACCTGCAAACCAATAATCGGAAAACAAGTATTCCAACCGTTGTGCCACAAATTGTAAAGTCGGTATGTATTTCCACTTAGTCGTATTTTGTACTGAAATCCTATCTAACTGCGTACATCTTACTTGACAGCATATTCACGTACTGTCGTCGCTATAGAAAGATCATCTAGCCCTGTATAACACTATTTCCCCTAAAACCTACTTACAACACAACTGCAACCCACCCCTCAATAAAATGAATATATTTGTTGCCATCTAAAAATGATCTGAATTCCAAAGTAGTACGATATTCACTACTTATTGTGCCCAGACGTAAACTTCCCATATTCCAGATTAGTTGCTACTTTTGAATGTCTTCGATTTACATAGTCAGTTAAAGTCCGTAAAAGTGTGGAACAAAACACTTTTTTAACCTTGATTGACTCAAGGCATTAATGATCTAAATGCATTCCAGGGAAATAACGATTTCTATTATTGATGTTCAACAGCTGAGTTATCAGTTAGTCACAAATGTCCATCATCCTAAGTTGTAACACAATGTTTACAATGTATGAATTGATATATTAGTTTAGATTACCATATGAACGTAATTTAAATTATCCAGAAATCAAATTTAAAAACCTACTCTAAAAGTATGCTATACGATAAAATATTTCGTTTTAGTTATTTCCAATGGTAGGTATCTGCGTTACTTATCTAATTAATGCTCATTCTTATGAATTCCGTGGAAATTCTTTTCGTTACCAATGTCCACCACTTTTCTTTATTATTTACTTTTTTCTCATTCAACTTAGCATTCTTATCAGTAATAGTGGTCGAACACCTTTCATAAGCCTTAGTTAACGTCACCTTATTGTGTTTTTAGGGCGCTGTCGTGGATATTTTGGCACAAAACGTGATTCAACCAATGCTGGTCAGTTACAGTGCTGTTACTTTGGCTGCAGAGACTGTACGTAGCATCCTCAAGATAGATGATGTGGTAAGTTAACTAGCTCCTTATAACGTAATTTTCGATCTAGTTCTGTTAGAACAATTCACATAGCTGTATTATATAAGCATATGATAATGTAGTTACTTAACAAATATCATATTCCTTGTATTTAGCTTGAGGAAGTACTTTTACTCTGGGTATTCGTTGTCAGTTCTATGTGATAGTCACGTTTGTGTATCATGATAATCCATTCGAGTTATACTGACCGCAACACTTATTTCTTTAGGTTCCACCGCTCTTGAAATATCTGTTGTAGAACACTAAGACTATAAAACTAAGAAAAGAGGAGGTTGGAACATGTCCCTCCTAAAAGCATTGTACCTCGACTTACCTCATGTATTTACGTACCCAATACTTAAGGTCTTAGAAGTACGGAGTTAATACATATAGAACTCCACAAAACGACCATGTTTGGCTGCTCTTAAACAGTTGTCCAGTGGATTCTACAGTCACGATCCCGGGTCTCCAAAACCACCCTTAACCCAGTTTCATTTTCAACTACCTCGAGAAAAAGTCTACTTCCGCGGTGTGCGAAACGGGAGAGGTGACGACAGTCCTTACACCCACAACAACTGCGGTTTAAGTATCTTTCTGGCCAGTCAGTCAGTGCATCGGTTCACGTTGCCGTGCCAGTTAGTTTTTGATTCGGGGAATTAAGTGGTAATTATTATCATGTAATGTGTTTAACTCATCTTGTATACAATGGATGATACATTTAAGATAAACATCATTTTTAAAAGTTATTGTTGAGTTTTCGATGAGAAGTGCAGCTTTTCTATGGTAAAAAAAACATTCCTCTTAATGAAATCTCATTATTCCACCTTTTTTTACAGATCAATGCAATCAGGAATTAAGCAACTTTGTATGGCTCCGATACTAAATATGTGGAACTTGTTATTGTTTTCATGAAATATAACGTTTTATCGAATTCATTAGTTATCTTCATATTCAGTCCAAACCTTCATGTGTTACTCACATGTCTTAACATATTTCTAGTGAAGTTGACTAGATATGCTGTATTGTAATTATACAGGTGTTTAGTTTCAACTTTGAAAGTCATTTCCCATCTCAATTTGATAGCCACATAATAACCACGATTATAAAAACGTAATCTCGAATCCAATCTACAAATCATCTTAATGTGAAATGATCATTGACCACTACTTGACAAAAACGGTATGATTGCAATGAATTATTTTTTATCAGTTCATGCCATTAGCCAGACTCATATCATTCAAAAGCTTCTTCACAAGTAACATTTAATTACTAATAAAGCCAGTTATAGATCAATTGAGTGAGACTGAGTATTATTTGCGTTTTAATATTCACTTTCAGATAGACGGTTAAGTATTGTTCTATAAACACCAGAGTTATTACGATCAATGTCTCTGATTACGTCTTATACTTTAAAAAACACCCACTCATCTTACTATCAAAGATAGTAAGTAACTAATGCTACAAGTCAAACTAAATAGCCCCAAATACTCTGAGCAAACTAAGCAGCTTCCTAACTAACGTATAATTCAATTACCAATGATACCCATAAAACTTATATAATGTCCTATAGTAGTACCGAATCTAAAGTATATTTTGATTACTTTTGTTACTGCAAACGTTGCTTTTACAGTTGATCTAGCCAAAGTTATCCAAGAGTATATTTTATTATAGAAAAAAATTTGAGATTTTGCAATAAAATTCCTGTTTTCAGTGGCGTGTACATATACTAAGGCGTTTCTACGGTTTGCTTCCTGTCTATTCACAGTATTCTGCTACATAAACATTAAAATATCGTATGTAGTGAAAATAGCAAATTTTCCAGACCGTAGCTGCTACCTTGACGTGGTGGTCGGGCTTGCCTATCGTGATGACCCAACCGAGCTATATTGGCTGGAACACATGTTCCTTCAGGTTCTATCATGCCAGGCAGGTCGATTGGAGAACGGTAAGACTAAAAGCAGCAACTCAAGGTCTGGGAGCGAAGTCGTACTGCTGACTGTACAGAGGTGTGACAGCAGTAAGGTGTTTCCCTCGGACAACCAGCATCTGCAGCGATGCCACCTTCTCACAAGGAAGGAAGGGGTTAGAAAAGGTTGACCCTAAAAATGTCACACCTTACCCCTCGGATTTCCGTCTCCGGTGGTAAGGCCCTTTGAAGAACGGAGCTAACACATTAAAAACCTCCCACAAAAAGGCCGTGCGCGACTGGCCTCAAGCAGTTGTCCCTTGAGCTCTGCGGTCACGCTCCCAGGTCGTTAAGACCAACACTAATCCGATTTTCTTTTTCAGGTTCCTCAAGAAATACCCTTCCATGGTGTGGGCAACCGGGAAGTGACATCAGCCCTCATACCCGTAACAGCACACGAGACCAAGTTGGTCACATTCAAATCCTTCCTACACCTCCTAATAACTCTTATCTCCACGACTAACCCTTCTTACGTCCCTTTATCACCTTGCCACGCTAGTGCGAACGATTCGAGTACGCGGAATATTATTCCTGGTCTCCTGAAACCACGCTCTAAACTACACGTAGGAGCTTTCAACGTCCGAACACTGTGCCAAATAGGACAACAGGCTTCCTTAGTTAGGACTTTAGAATCTCGCTCCATCGATGTGTGCTGCGTCTCCGAAACGTGCACACGGGATCATAGTAGTGTCATTCATTTGACCTCACCATGTCAAAGTAACGAACCAACTCGATTTACGCTTCGTGTATCTGGAAGCCCTGATGCTGCTTCCCGTGGCCTCGCTGGCGTAGGTATAGCATTGAGTCCTAGGGCAGAACTAGCTCTCTTAGACTGGATCCCATTAGACAGTCGTTTGTGCGCTGTCCGACTAAACGGAACAGTAAGGACTCGGAAAGATAGGGACACTCGTCGTCTCTGCCTACTCTCCCACTGACTGCAGCTCAGATGATGTAAAAGATGAGTTTTACGGAAAGCTTTCCGGCCTTCTCCGAAAAGCTAGGCGTTCAGATGTAGTAATAGCAGCTGGTGACTTTAATGCTCAAGTAGGTAAACTAAGCGAAAGGGAAAGACATCTGGATGGATCTTATGGTGTCGCGGCTCAAAGAACAGATAACGGCAACCGTTTGTTGCAGCTATGCTCAGATAACCGCCTGTTTCTTGCAAACACTAACTTTAAGTATGTGGAAAAACATCTTTTAACATGGCGACCCCCTAACTCGTCCCATCGCTGGACCCAAATAGATCACATCGCTATCAGCCACCGATGGAGGGGCTCGATAGAAGACTGGAGCACATGCTTAGACTCAGATCATGCTGTAGTCCGAGCGCGTATTTGTCTACGTCTTACTAGACGTAGGAAAGACGGTGCAAGGAAACCTGTTAGGGCTTTACTTAATGATAGTCAAGCTAAGAATATATTTCAGGAACAACTAGAAAAACAGTTAGGCAGCCATGTAGGCGATGCCCACCCTGAGGCAGTGTGGAATGACATTGAAAAGCTGTAGAAACAGCAGTGATGTCTGCAAATACAGTAAACCATAAGGTTAGGGAGAAACACTGGATCTCAGCAGCGTCTACCGCACTGATAGATGCTCGAGAACTCATTTCATCTGGCACTGAACATAACGAAGAGTGGAGTCAGCTTAAGCGTAAGCTGACTAGAAGCCTACGCATTGATCGTGAACAGTGGTGGGTAGCGAAAGCAAGAGAGATGGAAAAGGCAGCGACAGCAGGCAACTGTTCAGACTTGTTAAGGAAACCGATAGTAGGAACCCAACTGTTAGCGAAACTATCCCCGAAAAAGATGGACATATTATTCATTCTCAATCCAGGAGATTGGATCGATGGGCAGAACACTTTAGGGATCAGTTCAACTGGCCTTCAGCCACACTTCAGTTTCCCACAATCTCCAATCTACCTGAATGTCAAGTTAATATAGGTCCACCGACTCTACGAAGTTGAAAAAGCTACAGGAAATCTGAAGCGAGGGAGAGCAGCAGGCTCTGACAGGTTTACCCCTGAGATTTTTAAGGGTGATGGTCGAGTATTAGCAGCGAGATTGACTGAGGTCTTAGGTAGAATCTGGGAACTGGACGTAATCCCATCTGACTGGTCTCAATCACTGATTGTGCCAGTCTATAAGAAAGGATAAAAGTCATCCTGTGACAATCACAGAGGAATTAGTTTGACTAATATAGTGTCTAAAATATTAGCTTCAATCATACTTCGACGCCTAACCAAAGCTCGTGAAGAGCAGACTAGAAAAAACCAGGCTGGTTTTCGACCTGGACGTGGTTGTATAGATCAGATATTCACACTACGTCAGGTTTTAGAACATGGACACACATTCAGACGCCCCACAATAGTCGTATTTCTCGACCTTAAGGCGGCATTTGACTCTGTTGATCGTGAGGTTCTATGGCAGTGTTTGTCACTGAAAGGAGTATATTAACCTTACAAAGGCTCTCTACTCGAACACAACTGGTCGAGTGAGAGCTTATGGCGAACTGTCATCAGAACTGATTACCTCAAGGCTGTCCACTCTTGATTCCCCTTTAACTTTGTCGTTGACGTGCTTTTAGAAATAACACTTTCCAGGAGTTGAACTTCTACCGAGAGATCCACTTGTTGACTTAGAGTATGCCGATGACATAGTTCTATTTGGTGAAGACGCTGACAAAATGCAGAGTCTGCTGACCACTCTAAGCAACAATGCGAGCATGTTCGGCATGCGATTTTCTCCCTCGAAATGCAAGATGTTGCTTCAGGATTGCATCGACACCCGAACTAGTGATAGGGACTGAAGTAGTTGAGCATGTCGACCGCTTCACTTATCTTGGAAGTCTCATCAGCCCTTGTGGTCTGGTGTGTGACGAAATCTTAGCACGGACACAGAAGGCTCGACTAGCTTTTGCCAACTTGCGTCATTTGTGGCGTAGACGAGATATCCGTCTATCAACCAAAGGACGTGTTTACTGCGCAGCAGTTCGTTCCGTCCTGCTATATGGCAGTGAAACATGGCCAGTAAGAGTAGAGGATATTCGTAGGTTACTAGTATTTGATCATAGGTGTCTTCGAAACATTGCTCGTATATCCTGGGACCACCGAGTAAGTAACTCAGTTGTTAGGAAACGGGCACTAGGTGAGGATGGCAAGTCAACTGATGAAGTAGTGAAACGTCGTCAGTTGAGATGGCTGGGACGTGTTACGTATGCCCGACCGCCGACATGCGATGTTTTATGGTGTAGGAGTAGGTTGGAAGAAAGCTAGGGGCGGCCAGACCAAAACATGGCACAAATCCATGAAGTCATTGACAAGTGGACTGAGCCATGTTGGTAGGTATAGACTACCTGGTTAGGGACCGCGAGATGATATCAACCGATGGTTAGAGACCTTGAATGACATGTCTCAAAATCGTTTGCAATGGCGCAGGTGCATCTACTCTCTGTGTTCTCTCAAACTCTAATCTTCTGAATCCTTCATGTCCTTTATTTTCTTTCCAAATCTATTCCACTGGATTATGCTCCTTAAATAACATCATCAAACCCTAATGTTCCCTATCACTATTTATACTTTCACTACCTCTACCACTACGGGATTTGAATCGATAACTGGATCTCTGTGCTAATGTGGTATGGCAACTCGAACTGATGTACGTACGTACGAAGTTCCACTTTGTTACTGACTGACTGAGCAAATTTTTTCATAATGACTACACCATAAGAATTTATTAACCGGTATTTTAGACTACATTTTAGCAATTATTAAACTCGTCCGGTGCGTATATTTTCCACTAACACTATCCCCTATGATAAAGAAGTGGCAACGATAGATGCATAGAAAGTGATTATAGAACGCCTTGTTAATCCCAGACAAACAACCATTTACAG